CCGGATTAGATAATCTTCATGGTATCTTCATGATAGCTCTATAGTTCCATGATTCTATGAATGCCTGACTGTCACCTAGTTAGTTACTCTGGAGGTTTGCATGGTATCTTGATGGGCCAGATGTTATTAAAGTTTTGGCCCCATACAAGTCTTGTTAATCTTCCCTGGCTTTTCACACATAACATTCTCTTGGTTTGAATGTTCTTCTCATACACGGCTACGGTGTAAAAGATCCTTTGAAATTAAGACAGTTTTTATTAGGTATAACTGCTTGTGTTAATGTGTATGTAATTTCAGCTTCACACATTCTTCGAGCATGCAATGCTTCCAGGTGGAATTAAGGTTTGGTGATTGCTGATGAGCCTGGAGAGTTGATTATGTGGGGGCATAATAGAATATTGGTGGTGACAGGGAGAGGAAGATATGGTGTTGGAGGGAGTGTTGGCCATTTTAGGAGATCCCGAGTTTGGCACTTGGTTCCGATCCTGGGCTGTAACGTTTTCCTCTCTGGACAGGTGCAAGGTTCTTCCTCCCTCCTCTTCCTACAATGGAGTGGGAAGCCTGTTATTCCAGCAAGGGTGCTTCTAATATACGGGTAATTATGGGCAGGGGGAGGTATGGTGTTGGTGCAGAAGCAATCAAACTTGGAAGAACAGTTTACAGCCAGCGGGCAGAACTTTTCTGTATAGTCTGTAATCTATCGGCAGTTGGCCACAATGATAGGCCCCCTTTAGTATTTCCTGTGACCAATTTGCTGCATTTTTAAAATCTAAAGTGGAGGCCATCCGCTGGGACCTTGATCCCTTTTTACAGACAGTAGATCGAGCTGAGATGTCAAGTGCATCATCTTGCCTGGCAAGGTTAACCTGCTTTCAATCTGTGATGTTCAATGAGGTGGGCAGAGTGCTCGCACCCTGCCATGCCACCACTTCCTCTTTAGACCCTAGTCCGGCTTGGCTCATCAAAGCAGCTAAGCCGGTAACAACAGAATGGGCCACTGCAATAATTAATGGGTCTCTCCAGGAGGGCATGGTTCCCCCTGCCCTCAAGGAGACATTCATTAGGCCCATTCAAAAAAACAACAACTCTAATTTGGCGGTGGACGAAATTGGGAATTATAGGTCCGTCGCCAGTATTTCTTTCTTGAGTAAAATGGTCGAGAGGGTGGTGGCTGATTAGCTCCAGGCCCTCCTGGAGGAAACTGATGCCCTTGATCCGTTCCAGTTGGGCTTCAGGCTGCGTCATGGTACAGAAACAGCATTCGTCGCCCTGCAGGATGATCTCCTGAGGGAGGCCGACAGGGGCCATATGTCCTTGTTGGTCCTCCTCGATATCTCAGCGGCCTTTGATAGCATCGACCACGATATTCTCCTGGGGCGGCTCTCCAAGTTGGTGATTGGAGGCCTCGTTTGGCGTGGCTCCATTCCTTCTTGGAGGACCGTCCCCAGAGAGTACAGCTTGTCGAGATGACTTCCACCCTGTGGATCTCACCAATGCTATTCAATATCTATATGAGGTTGCTGGGTGAGGTCATCCGGAGTTGTGGGTCCTGGTGCCATCAGTATGCTGATGACATCCAGGTCTACCTCTCCTTTTTCCCAACTGCAGTGGATGCTGTTCCAACCCTTGAACGCTGCTTGGGGATCATACTGGGGTGGATGAGGGCAAATGGACTGAGGTTGAATCCGGACAAGATGGAAATCTTGCGTGTGGGTAGCCCTGGCATCAGTCAGTTGGGAAACTCCCTCTCCTTTGGGGGAGTGACTTTTCCCACGAAGAGTGGGGTTTGCAGCTTGGGCATCTGCCTGTCCCCGGATTTCAACATGGAGTCGCAGGTGACATCTGTGGTCAGGGCAGCCCATTTCCATCTCCGGAGGATTGCCCAGCTGTGTTCCTACCTAGACGCAAGGGTGCTCTTGATTCTGATTCATGCCCTCGTAATCTCAAGAATAGACTACTGGAATGTTCTCTACATGGGGCTACCCTTGAGGTTGATGACTTCAACTGGGACAAAATTTGATGGCCAGATTAATAATTGGGGTGAAGAAATTCCAGCATGTCTCCCCCACTCTGGCCGCCCTACATTGGTTACCAGTTCATTTCTGCATCGACTTCAAGGTTATGATGATAACATTCAAAGCCCGAAATGGTTTAGGACCTTGGTACCCATCAGAAAGCCTGCTTCCAGCCAGATCTGTCCGTAATACCCGTTCTTCACAGGCAGGGTGGTTGAGGGCCTTGACCCTGAAGGAGACCCGGATGGAAAGAACAAGAAATCGAGCCTTCTTGGCGATCCCCCCCCGCCTGTGGAACAACCTGCCCATTGAGATCCGCCTGGCACCCTGGCTGGATGGGTTCAAACGAGCATTGAAGACTTGGCTCTTCTGCCAGACTTTCCCTTATCATTAGGTTTTCATGATCTCATCCCCCTTTTACCACCCTTTTGCCATCTTTTTCATCATCCTTTTTACCACCTTCATTGCCATCATTGCCATCTGTTTTAATTTACCCTGCTGGCTATTATATTTGTTCAATGCATGTATTATTTTATTTCTTAGTGTTTGATATTGTGCTGTTTGTCTTGTTGTTAGCCGCCCGGCGTG